AATATTTATAATTAGTTTGTTAAACTAAGTCATAAGATGAACATTTTCCATCCTTTATGTTAACATCCATAAAGGAAAACATTGCTTTTTTTTGGATTGTATTTATACCTATGAACTAAGATAAACAACAGAGTGAATGAGTCCCCCACTTTGTTATATAAAAGTATCATAAACACACTAATATTTAGAATTTCTCACAGGCCTTCAACAGCCCACAGTATTGTTAACAAAAGTTCTCTGAATTCTCTTTTGAGTTTTCCGTGCTCCACAGTTAATAGCTTTGTGATACTTCTGAAGTTATCAAATATTTATAGGTCTACTCAACTTCCTTGTAAAGTTTTCCTTTTCTTGTATTGCCTAGTTTTTTTTTTTTTTCTTGAAATGACATCCACTACTGTTCCATCATATCTTTTATAACCACAGGCTGTTTTCTAGGCTACCACATTATATAGTTTCTCTCCTTCCTGATGGAAGATACTCAATCTACTAAGAAAGATACAGTGTTTCTAGATCTACTCTCTCTGTTGAACTTGAATGTCTCTTGACATAGCCACACTTTTACAGACACTTCTTACTTTCTACAAGCTAAGTATGAGAAAAAAAAAAGTGATTCCTTTTTTGCCTCTGATCTCTCTCACTGTCACCAAGGGAGTTGTGGTTCAGTATTTCAGCACTGCGATTTTTCCAACATTTTACTCACCTAGGAGCGTGTATTATCTGAAATACATTAAGTGTAATGTTCATGCTTGTATTGTTCCTCAATTTTTTTAAGATTTATTTTATTTATTTGAAAGTGTTAACAGGGAGAGGTAGAGACAGAGAGAGAGGTCTTCCATCTGCTGGTTCACTCCCCTAATGGCTGCAATGGCCAGAGCTGAACTGATCCAAAGCCAGGAGCCAAGAGCTTCTTCTGGGTCTCCCATGAGGGTGCAGGGGCCCAAGCACTTGGGCCATCCTCTGCTGTTTTCCCAGGTGCATTAGCTGGGAGCTGGATTAGAAGTGAAGTAACTGGGACTCGAGCTATTACCCATATGGGACCCTGGTGCCATGGGCTAGGACTTTAACCCACCACGCCACAGTGCCAGCCCCATTCCTCAATTTATTTATAGTATTTTTCAGAATAAATGCTCAATAAATATTTGTTTAATGAATGAATCATTACTCTTAAATTTCACATATGCATATTAATTAGTATTATAAATGTTCCAATTGTCTCCTCAAATTATCTATAATGACGGAATATGCCATTCACATCATTATCATCTTATTGAAGTTGTTGTTGTTCTTCTGGACTGAAGAATAGACAAAGAAATTATCTTTAAACCAATATATACAGCATTTGAAGAGTGTAATTTAAAAAGTTAACCCACTAGTCTAGCTTTGTTTTTAGTGTACAGAAAAGCATCCTTTGATTATTCTTTCATTTAAATTTAGAATGCTAACCAGATATAGTGTTTTAATGTTATAGCACCTATTATGTTTTCCTGGTTTTTTTTACATATATGTATTTATAATATTTCTATTTATATTGGTCAGCCAGAGGGAAATTTTGTTAGCAAAGTCTGTCAGCAGACACAAATTAACAAGAAAGTTTTTAAAGCCAGAAAGCTATTCAAAATTCTACATACAGAAATCTCCTTCTTGCTTTTGGGGGGAATTGTCTATAATAAAAAGATAATGTTGGGGCCAGCACTGTGGCAAAGCAGGTAAAACTACTGCCTGAAGTGCCGGCATCCCATATAGGCGTTGGTTCGAGTCCCGGCTGCTCCACTTCTGATCCAGCTCTCTCCTATGGCCTGGGAAAGCAAGAGAAAATGGACCAAGTCCTTGGGTCCCTGCACCCATGTGGGAGACCTGGAAGAAACTACTGGCTCCTGGCTTCAGATCGGCACAGCTACAGCTGTTGTGGCCAATTGGGTAGTGAACTAGTGGATGGAAGACCCTCTCCCTCTCCCTCTTTCTCTCTCCCTCTCCCCCTTTTCCCCCTCCCCCCCTTCCCCTTTTCTATCTCTGGGTAACTCTAACTTTCAAATAAAGAAGTAAATCTTAAAAAAAAAAGATAATATTGAAGTCGTTGAAAAAGCAACTACAAATTTTGAAATTACAACATAGCAGAGGTGGAAAGGTCAAAATTATGCCACTGTTATTAGTGGAGTTTCTCACTCATCTTTTTATGTTATCTTTTCTATGAGTTAATCCCCAATTCTTTATTTTTCTTTCCAGATTATTTGGAAATTAGAAATAAGGACTCTGTAGATAGGAAATAGAAAAAAGGCACACCACTTTGATTTTGACTTTTGGTAATAATAAATATAAAGGTAGCAATGTAGCAAATGTCTAGTTTTACTACAAACTTTGGAAAAAGAGGAAGAAATTGCCATACTGAATTAATGTAATGTAATGTTGACAGACAATATTAAATCAATATAAAGTTGTATTTCCTTACTTATCTAAATCAGAAACATAGGAAAACACTTACATATAAGTAGTATTGGTGTGTATATTAGTAAGTGTTTCTTAAAATAAGAATGTATTTGAATTTAAAATGAAATTGTTAGACTGCAAGTATGGTACCAATAAATAACCTATGAATCTTTACTAATTTTAAACTGCTGAATTTTAAATCACCTAATCTGTTTTTATTCAGTTTAGTAAAGTTCTCTTAAGTTTATTGGGGACTTATTCCAATTACTACAATGAAATTAAATAGTTTAACCTAATAAGATATAAGATCTATAATTAGCTTATAAAAGAAAGTAATTCATAACTACAGCTGTTTTATGCATTAAACACTGTAGGCGCTATGCTTCAGGTCTGTGAATTTTCAATGGCAAAAAATTGTTTATAACATGAAGACAAAAATTACTGGGTCCAAGTTATAGAAAATGGAAAATTATAATGCATTTAATTTTTAAAAAGGTATTAATATTCATGGAAATTTCATTATATGTGAAAAATGTTTTCTCATTTGCAAATACTTCTGATTAAAATGATAGTTCTCTAGAATTTGTAGAAAATCATAAAGGCTTCAACTTGAGCTTTTTAGTAGGCAGTATCCCAACTCTATGCGTTGCAGTGGAAGGGGATTTAGTATCAGTGCCTTGACCATGTTTGTTTTCTTCTTCTTCCACAGTAACTAGTAATTCCTTCAGAAGACAATCTCACTAAGAAATGAAATTTCTGCCTTTCATCACCTGAACTTTGATGAAGGAAACAATAAACCATCTGTGGACTAACTTGCTTGCCAGCATGTCTGTTTTTTCTTTTCCATTGCCCCCAACTCAGAATTCAATTCCAGGGGATACAGTTCTGCATTTCAGGCTCCTTCACTGAAGACAGAATTTTAAATTTGACATCTCTAGTCCTATTTGACCCTTTGAGCTCTCCCACTGTCTTCTCCATAGTGGGATCATTACCCAGCTCTTTCAGGATGGGAGCCAGGTGCTGGGGATATTGCTAGTCATCTGACTGAAGCAGATAAATGCAGATAGGACACTTCACATACTATATAGTAAATCAGTCCATTGATGGAGCTTATGCCTTGCTTTAGATACATTAACATTTGTTTTATCAAACTGGGTACATATGTTGGTTTCATACACATTTACTACAGTCACATCTTTACATTGAATTAGTCCCTTAAACATTTGATAATGAACTTGTCTCAACAATTTTAATCTTAGTGTATGTTGTCTGATACGGTTATAGCTATTCCTGCTCTGTTTTCATTTCCAATTGTATTTAATATCCATCTTTGCACTTTCAGTGTATGTTTATTTTTGATGTGTTTACTATGGGCTTACCTTTTTAAAGTCCATTCAGCCACTCTGCATCTTATTTATTTATTTAATAAGAAGTAATGTTACAGAGGGAGGGTGAAACACAGAGAAAGTTCTTCCATCTGCTGGTTCAGTCCCCAAATGAAGGTAATGGCCAGAGCAGAGCTGAGCTGATCCGGAGTCTGGAGCCAGGAGCCAGGAGCCAGGAGCCAGGAGCTTCTTCCTAGTGGCCCATAGGGTGCAAGGGTGCAAGCAATTGGATTATCCTCCACTGCTGTAAGCAGAGAGCTGGATGGAAAGAGGAGCAGCTGGGACTCAAAGCAGTGCCCATTTGAGATGCCGGAGCTAGAGATGGAGGTGCAGCCTACTATACCACAGTACCAGCCCCCACTCTGCATCTTTTTTTTTTTTTTTAATTTTTTGACAGGCAGAGTGGACAGTGAGAGAGAGAGACAGAGAGAAAGGTCTTCCTTTGCCGTTGGTTCACCCTCCAATGGCCGCCACGGCCGGCGCACCGCGCTGATCCGATGGCAGGAGCCAGGAGCCAGGTGCTTTTCCTGGTCTCCCATGGGGTGCAGGGCCCAAGCACCTGGGCCATCCTCCACTGCACTCCCTGGCCACAGCAGAGGGCTGGCCTGGAAGAGGGGCAACCGGGACAGAATCCGGCGCCCCAACCGGGACTAGAACCCGGTGTGCTGGCGCCGCTAGGCGGAGGATTAGCCTAGTGAGCCGCGGCGCCGGCCCCCCACTCTGCATCTTTTAATTGAAGAATTTAGTTTATGTAACTTAAGGTTAGTGTTAAAAAGTAGTTACACAGTCCTGCAAGTTTTCCTTAAATGCAAAAGTTAGTGTAATATCTGTGAATGACTCAGTCTTATTAAAGGATTTTACTCTGTAAGATATTACCGGTATAGACAGTAAAATTTCAAGCAATTTTTTCATAACGTTTCCCAAAAAGTTTATTAACTGAATTTTATTAAATTCAATTAATTTTTTTGGTTTGTGTATATGTACATATAAAATTTATAATAAAATACTTAAAATTCTCATATCTCCCAATAACTTTATATTCAACTTAAAGTCTCAAGTAGTTTTACATCAAATCCCGGTGAAACCTTCACAGGCGCTGTAACTAGTCAACCTTTGCTAGCGTTTGTTACTAGAGGAGAACGAACGCCTCGGTTCTCTGGGCCATCACACTGGAGGGGCAGGTGTGCGGGGACCCAGCCCGGGCCGGGGCGGCGCGCAGCGGGCAGCCTCCGGGCGCCGCGGGAATCCCGCTCCAGGGTCTCGCGAGAACAGCGCCCGCGGACGGCTTCCCGCCCAACGGCCGCGCCGTCAGTTCCCGCTCGGCGCCCGGCCCCGACGCCATGCTCCGCCTGCTGCTGCTGCTGGCCGGGCTCCGTGGCTGCCCAGCGCCGAGGCCCGGTAAGCCCCGGGCCCCGCCGTCCCTCGGGGCGGGGCGGCCTCTCTCCCGCGCTCCGGAGCGGGCTCGGCTGCCTCCGACGGCCGCGGCCTCGCTCCCTGTTGGCCGGCCCCCCGTGGAGGGCGCCGCGTCGGGATGCAGAGCCACCGTGAGGGGAAGTCACTTTCGCAAGCCGGGACAGACCTGTGCGCTGAGAATCTGCGTTCTGTCAGCCCTTGCGGATGCGGCCTGCGCGGCACTAAACAACCCTGTGCCGGGAAAACAGCGCAGGAATCCGGGGCCCCGGGACCCGCCGACCCCGACCGTGTCCGGCTTCGCTGGTCCCAGAGCCACGGTCCCGCGTGGGCCGGGGGTCCTGGGTGCTGCGGACGTTCCTGTGTCAGAGCAGGAGTCCCGCAGGAAGTCCGCGGAGGCGGTATAGACGCGCAGATGGACGGGAGGGGAGGTGTGGATGCGAGGGAGGCCCTGCTGAGTGTGGTTTCCAGGGAGCGGCCCCACCCGCAACGCCTTCGCCTTCCCTGGTTCGCAGCAGTCGCCCTGTGTTTACCAGTTCCCTAATTAAGAGCTTTTGGACCGTTTCCAACATAATGTATTAGCTCCAGCTGCGGGAACAGAAAACCACACACTGGTGGCTTCAACGACACGTGCTCACCCCCCCCCCCCCCGCCGCCCCTTATATTCCTGGAGGCTGCTAGGGTGAGATCAAGGTAGCAACACGGTTGGTTTCTAGTGAGGGTTTTCTTTCTGTCTCATCTGTTGTTACCTTTCCCCTTGTACACACCTCCTTGTTTTCCCGGGAGAGTGAGTAATCCCATTCTTTGTGTCTGGTCCTGAGGGCCCCACCCTGTGACCTTAGGTGACTAATTACTTCCCAAAGGCTATCGCGGGTTGCTTGCTCTTTGTAGCTCAGAGTGTCAACATATGATATTGTGGTGATAATACTGACTGTATTCCACCTTATATATTTTAGTGCAGTGATTGTCAAAGTTCTTTAGTTTTTTTGATTCAGAACTCCTAAACATTAACAATACTTAGATCCTCAAAGAGCATTTGTTTATGTTGGTTTATATCTGTCAATATTGATCATATTAAAAACATATTCAGGAATGTGCCTTCACGTAAAAATAACAAATACACGTGTTAACATGTGTATGTTAAGCTAAGCAACACATCTTAAAAATGTGTTTTCCGACAGAAAACATATTAGATAAGTGTTGTTTTACCTCTTTGTAAATATCTTTAATGTTTAAAGAAGACAGCTAGATTCCCATAATCTGCTTTTGCATTAACTGTCTTTTATATGAAATATAAAAATTGTCCTTTATATGAAATATATGAAGAAAAACTATTTTCAAAATATCCATTCATTCTGTTGAATTGTAGACTATGGTATATTTCATTGAAAATGCATTCAGTGTCCCATGGTCTTAACTGTAGGCTGTCTACATAACAGCCATGTTCACTCTTACCATTAATAAAACTTAAAGAAGGGAAGGGAACAGGAAGGAAGGAAGGAAGGAAAAGAGGGAGGGAGGGAGGAAGGAAGAGAAGGATTGAGGGAGTGAGTAAGAAAGGGAGGGAGAAAGAGAAGTGTTATATTGGAATTTTATCTATGAACTACATTAAGTCTGTTCTATTTATATTAATATCATAAATGGCAAAAAGACAGCATACAAGAATACTTCTTTCTGCCTCATATCTGATAGTTATATAGGAAATATTTGTACAAACAAGTATACTGCTTGAAATTTTACTTACTGGAAGGATTTCCTTTCTCCATTCTGTTTCAGGGCCAACTGTAAATAGATTTATAAGGTTATGGCAGTTGACTTTTGAGTACTATTAGCATATCATATGCCTAATTTGCCTATTTCAATTAGCTGCTCATAGAAATAATAAATGTTGGTTGAGGGAGTTATGGAAATATGATAGTCATAAGTGTATTGGGCTATGGATTATCCACTTACACAACTTGAAGCTTTCAGGACTTGTTCAAACCTTGCCATATATAACAATTACATTTGATGAGTACTGTTGGGAGTGCCTAGCAATGCCAGTTGAGAATAATGACCCAGTTTACAAATCATATAGTATCACATGATCTGACTCTCTGTCAAAGTCTTGTAGTGAGACAGAAACTTTAAGAAAAATATACTTGTATATATATGCTATGTTTTATTATCCTGTGCTTGTTATAACAATGTACCACCAACTAGGTGGCTTAAAAATAGCAAAAATGCATTCTATCCTAGTTTTCAGGCCGAAGTTTTAGTGCAAGCAAAGGATTGATAGTATTGATTCCTTTTGGAGGCTTTGCCATATTATCTATTTCATGTCTCTCTTACTAGTTTCTGATTGTTCCAGCAATCCTACACTTGTTAACATGTTATTACAATTTCTGTCTTTGCTTTACATAGCTACTTACTCAGTATATCTTCTCCCTTACTCTTACTCACTAAGATGCTTGTTGGATTTAAGGCCCACCCTAATCCGGGATAGTTTCATCTTAAATGCCTTAGCATAATTCTACCCTGCAAAAACTTATTTTCCAAATAAGGTCACATTCGTAAATTCTTGGTCGACAAATATTTCAAGAGATCATAATTCAACACACCTTGTTTGTTTCAAAACCTTTCAGACTTTTTCTGTGATTCTCCTTAAAAGTCCTAACACAAGCTCTTTTCAAAATTTCAGTCATAGACTCTTCATGTGCTCTTGTTTTTCCTGGCTCTTAAGGAAAACCAATACTGTCAGCTGAGAAGCTTTCTCTTACTTTGGCGTCTTACAAATAAAGACATCTGTGGTTTTTCAGTAAAGGGTCAAAGCAACAAAGCTGTATGTGATGCATACAGCTTTGAAATTCCAAAACTGTCTAAAAAGTACTGTGCCTCTTGTCATTTGGTATGGAGGAGGAACTTTCCAGTGTGTTCTAGACCACCTGATCATTATGAACTGATAGTCCTTGTGTGGTATATATGTCTCTACTCAGGACTCTTAGTAACCTGCCCTTTACTAAGGCAACAAATAGAGCTGATACTTCCTTCAGGTCTCAGAGGCATGATGCTATAAATGTACTTCCTCTAATTTCTGCTTAGAGGATATATTAGTTTCATATTGCTGATGAAGAAAATACTTTAAATTTAGCACTTTTAAGTTGTTGTGTAGGCCATAAGTTCAAAGTAAGTCTCACCGAGTTCTAATCAGCATGCTGGGGGATGCTGTGTTCCATGGAATTTCTAAGTAGAAAATCTTTTCTTGCCTTCTGCAGCTTCTAGTGGCTGACTGCATTCCCTAACATATGGCTCCTTCCCTTCAAGGATGAAGTCCAGTAGCATCGGATGGAGTCCTTGTCACACTTTCTCTCTTCTGGTTCTCTCTTCTATTTTGCCTGGCTGCTTTTGAGAACTTTTGTGGTGAAATTAAGCCCACCAAAATAGTCTGAGGTAGTCTTAGGATCAGACGATTAGCAACCTTAATGGTGCTTTGCCATGTTACTTAATGTAGTCACAGGTTCTGGGGACTAGGAAATTGATATTTTAAGAAGTCATCATTTTGTCTACCAGAGATGGTGAGATGTTTGACATCCGGATAAAAGCAGAATCAAAATTTAGCAAAGTACTGATGTAAGAGAATGAAGTTATACTGCTATTACTACTGACTTAAAATCTTTGCTTATTATGGTAGAGAAAACAGCAACCTTTTCTGTCAGTAGTCCATATAAGGGCCAATGCCTTGTCCATTTGTTTTAGACCACTACCCAATTGGCTGCAATGGCTGGAGCTGCGCCGATCCGAAGCCAGGAGCCAGGAGCTTCTTCCAGGTCTCCTATGCAGGTGCAGGGGCCCAAGGACTTGAACCATCTTCTGCTGCTTTCCCAGGCCATAGCAGAGAGCTGGATTAGAAATGGAGCAGCCTGGACTTGAACCAGTGCCCATATGGGATGCTGGCACTACAGACAGCAGCTTTACCCACTATGCTACAGCGCCGGTCCCCATGCTCTTACATATTTTAGTTATATCTTGTTGGGATTAATTTCTGCATAAAAAGCTCTTTTGCTTAATATTTTGTTAGTCATAGAGATGATATTCAGGGGTTTCCACTTGGCCATAACTGTCAAAATAACGTTTTTCTTATGGGTGAAGGAGGCAATGTATGGATTGTAAAAGTCACTGCATATGTATGTTTATACAAACTATTGAGTAAATTGTGAATAGATAATTTGTAGCTCTATCACTCATAGATTTGAGAACCAAAATGCTCTTTATCATCTGAATTTTTTTCATAAGTATTCATTCCTCCTGAAGTGGAATATTAGGTCCTCAAAAATCAGTATTAGTTTACAGCTAGTGTTTAATAGTATACACAGGCCTGAGTAATTTACCACAACTCTACTGATAAGTTTTCTGGGGGAAATTTGCCTTTTTTCACAAGCATATGTGAAGTATTTTCCATTTGAAGATTTACTTGTAAATGTCTCTTTGTTGCTTTTATGCTTGAATGGAAATTTGACTGAATATAAAGTTTTTGGGTCCTCACTTTAATTTGGAAAGTGCATTTTTATTTCCAAGATTTACACAGGGAGAGGAGAGGCAGAGAGAGAGAGCGCGCGACAGGTCTTCCATGTGATGGTTCACTCCCCAATTGGCCACAACGGCTGGCCAGAGCTGTGCCGATCTGCAGCCAGGAGCCAGAAGCTTCTTCTGGGTCTCTTCTATGTGGGTGCAGGGGCCCAAGGGCTAGGGCCATCTTCTACTGATTTCCCAGGCCATAGCAGAGAGCTGGATGGGAAGTGGAGCAACCAGGACTAGAACCGGTGCCCATATGGGATGCCAGCACTTCATGCCAGGGCGTTAACCCACTGTGCCACAGCACCGGCTGAAAGTGCATTTTTAAGACACTGAATACTGTTGTAACAAATTCTCAAAGTAGCCTGATTTTCTCCCCTTATAATTTTATATTTTCTCATATTTCTGTATGTTTCTTTATCTTAGAAACCCAATCA